GTCATGGTTTTTCATTAACCACTACGAGTCGGCAGTTTTTTGGGTGCACGCGATGCCATCCGTACCATATGCTCTTGCTTGAGTATTGTTTGCCGAGGTTTGTGCTTTCTGTTTTGAAGCACGTTCAGGTTCCGTGAGATGAGTTCTTCACAATGCGATGTGCACCAAGATGTTGCACTATGAGCTATGCGCTCGTTCAGGCACCACAGGAGATATGATGACTTATGTCATTTGATGATTGAGCAGTTTCAGTTTTTGAGGTCAGTGGCACAGACTCAGACTTTTATTGGGAGACCAAGTTTTGTTAGTCTGCTTTGTTGATAGTTGTGCTGTTTTCTGGACGACCTACTGTTTGATTTGCTCAACATGACTTCATGAGAAGTTTATTAGTCCTATGGACGTTTCCAGGCACAAGGTTTACTTGTGATGACTTTAATTAAGGAGTTGATGCTATCTATGATTATTGTAAGGGATTTCGTCTCAAGGTGGAGTGTTATTTTTATTGTGTTCCGAATCCCATACAAGTGTTGTACTACAGATGGAGTCCTACGGGACTACGGCATGTCAACCGTGCTAGACGTAGCATGACTACAACTCTGTTTCGTGTCCACCAAGAAAGAGAGTTGTTTGCCCCTTTATATAGTACTAGCTAGTCATAGAATAGATGAGAGAGATCTCCACCAGATTAGCACGTAGAGGGTTTGTCCTCTCGTGTAATGTAATACTCCTCCCAATTATAGTGATACGTCGCCGTGCGTTCCGTGGTTTTCTCCCACAAGGGTTTCCACGTAAAACTCCATGTCTCTCGTGTCTCGTTTATTCTCGTTATTATCTAACACAAAAGCCCCGCTCTGAATTTCTCGCGCTGCCCGGCATTTGGAAGACCTAAATATACGGCATTGCAACATTGGTGCACGCATGATATCTTCCAAATCACTTCAGTGTTTGCGCATCACCGAATTCTGTATCTTCTCTTTGAAGTTCCTCATTCCGATTTCTGTGTCGGGTCTTATCTCGCTGCAATTTAATGATTTTACATCGAAAGAAAAGTACAATGCCAAATAAGTCGCTGACACAACACCAAAAATGGTACTGCCTGAAAGATAAAACATAACCTAAACAACAACAGAAACGAACTAATGATTCATTGCACAAGGGTGAACGACCTACACATAATACTAGAAACCCAAGAAAGAACAAGCAGGGGCCACCAGCATGCATGAAAGCATTTGCCATATACACTGAAGGAGTTGCAACATCTCAGAGGAACGACCATGAAAGTAGAAGCATAAGCTCTCCATATTGGCATTAACCACCAACCCAAAGTAAAGCCACTTGCACAAGCATGGGTGCCAGAACGAAGAAGGGCGTAAAATCATGTTGAGCATTTCTCCAGTGCAGGGGTGAAGACGACTATAGGAATGTCACACAGCCCACCAAGCACTCGCGCCATCATGTACACGATCTAGCCATCTAGAGAAGGGGAATGATGATCCAGAGGGCAGAGATCAACCTAGTGGTATGGAGCCGAAGTCAATGTTCGGTAGGAGGACCATGCATGTCTAAAATAACAACCGGACGCAGCCAACTCCAGAAGGACGAGGTGACTGGAGGAGGGCATGCCAGATCACAACTGAGGGGTAGAAGGAGTGCCAGCTCCGATGGTGGGAGCCTGAATCTGGCAGAGGATGACCAAGGAAGGGGTGTGGAGCACCGTACACTACAATGAGGCCACCGACTAGTAGCCACCGCGGTTGACCAGTGGGTGATGGAGCGTCATATCCAATGGCAGGTATGCCGGATCAGGCCAAGAAATGACCAAATCTTAAGTTTAAGAACCACAAAGACCGAGGCATCTAGACTGCGGTGGCCTGGGATGGGATGACCAAGGGAAGCCGGACTATCAGACAACTAGGAGAAGGATATGGTGAGCATCATACCATGACAAAATCGATCGCCGGCAGCCACCAACAAAGAAGGGGATGATAATTAGTTCTTGGAAACTGTATATGCTGGTTGTAATTAGCAGAACATGTACAAGAAAAAAATGGATTATGATTACCAGTTATATATGTGCTTCACTTGACAATACCGATAAGATCCTATTAACACAAGAGTTTGTTTCTTGATTTCCATATGGATTTTGAACAATACAATAATGAAATCATGTTCAAAGAGTGAAGACTTGAGGAGGCAAAGTAGCTGAAATAGAAATGCTGACATTTTGTTTTTCTCGTTCACCGGTAACCCGCACCAGTTTGAACAACGGAGTGAAGTATAAATTACTCAACATAGACAACTTTTTGGTGTTAGCTCAAGCTTTGAAGGCGAACTAGCTGGCGCAATTTAATATGCGTGTCCTAGCTCGATGGCACTGAACACATGCAAAAAAGAAGTGCACCACCGATTCACTTGCATTAACAATACTTTTGCCTTACAAATAAGGGTACAACCTCACCAGAGTAGATATCACGTTACGTTGTTTCACTTTGTTCCAGCTTGTTGGTAGCAGCTAGCTTACTAGTCCCATAAAACAATGGAATTGTTTTGCAAGAAAAGAACAAAGGAGTTGAAAATTCATGTGGGGGATAGGAGGTGTCAGTAACATGCGCAAGATCGAGCAACTCTGCCCCCTTCACCATTCTTGCAATTGACCGTGCCGACAATGGCGCCTGTGACAGTGCCTCTACTTGGCAACTCGCCACCAATGACCCCGTACGCTCCATCTTCAATCTGCTCAATCACGATGGAGTTTGTCGGACTCTGTGAATCCAGCTGAGCCATCAGTTAGTTGTGTCTCTTGCCGTGGAAGAGAAACATGCTGTCGAACGCCAGCTGCGGCCCGCGACATGGCCAGGCCTGGTGGTTAGGTTTACGATAAATATTGATAAACTTAAAATTGATACAGTGTTTGTTTCGATTGGCTTGGCAAGGGTGTATAATTTGGCTTTGCAAGAATGCAGTACAAAATAATTTGGCTTGGCAGGGCTGTATGTAGTACAAAGTAAAAGTAAGGAAAGTAATCTAGTGGTTGGTTGTTCTCTAGCTTCAAGAATGATATAGAGTTTGCTTCGATTCTCGTTAGTGTGCGTAAAACTTTCGGACATAGGGTTGAGGGGGTGTGGGTTTGAATATTCACAAAACTGATATACCTTTCACAAATGAGATGTGGTCTAGCGTAAAGGAAAATGACTAGAAAGACAATAGTGTGCTTGGCGTCCAATAATACAATTATCAATAGTTTTGTCGTGGTTGATTATGGACACCATGTAAGTATCCTAACTGTCTCTACAAGTGTTTACTTCGTTGTTGCAACATATCTTATTTGCAAGTACTATAATGTTTCTTTTTCAACAACTACTATACAGTTGAATGTAGAAGAGTTGTTTTCTGTTGTTGGAAGGGTGTGTGTGTGTAGTGATTTAGGACGTCAATAGCCAGTGAACGTTTGCTGGCATGGGTTGCATTTTTGAACATTTTTACTGGCACTTTCTTCATAAACACATGACATTTTCTTCAGAACAACATGATAGTTCTTCGGAGGAAGGTATTTTCTTCTAAAAACTGCCACCGTTCGATCTACCATCCCAATTGTCTGCAAAATGCGTTTGTTTGCCATCCCCTACCAGGGAATGTCAGCCAAATAACATTTTCGATGATTTATAATAGCTCCTTTTTCCAAAGAGACCAAAGAAACAAAAATAAATTCCCACAAATAAAAGAAAGTAAAAAACATTTTTATCTCGATTTCTATGGTTATTGCAGTTTTAGTCTTTAGTCTAATGTCACAACAATGTTGTTTGCAAAATGGTTGTTCTTCTAAAGTGGCATACGTATAACCCGAATTTCCTTGATTCCAGTTAAGTGATTTATACTCGTGAAGCACAAAGGAGAAAACTATGGGGAAATTTATTACTATGCAATAAATGCTATCTAATTTTTGTAATTAGATATGAAGATAGGTAGTAGTACTCAAAAGATAAGAGAGATCAGTCATTTTAAATACGGGAAATAAATAAATGGATACCGCATATATGGAAAAGAAGCTCGCATTTATTACATGATAAATGCCAATAAAATACAAAAAAAATAAGTACAAAGATAGAGATAGAAACAAGATACATCAGCCGACTATAACATCACACCCCAGTAGGAAGGAGATAGAACAATCGGCGAAGCTCGACGAACCAGACTGTCATTTGCGGCGGATACCAGAAGATGCATCCCATCTAGGTACGCGGATGCCCCGAGATCTCCGTCCATTTCGACATCCTCCTTCCCTTTTATGGCACCGATTTTCTACCTAAACGCTTTGAAATTCAGATCCCCATACCAATTATGTGCCGTGGTAGATGGATTTTGGGGACGGTTTTTGTTGATGGTTTGGGTATTGATCTGACCGTCGCCTGCGTGGAACTGACGGCTGGGATTCGACGTGGGAACCCATCTCAAATCGGGGGTGGGGCTACTAGTAGTAGTACAGCGTGCTTGCTCCCCTCTTGTCTTCCTCACGAATCACCCGTGAAGCAAACCGCCCGCCCCCGGATTCACCCCGTGACGCCGGCGCCATCGGCACCACTCCTCCGCCGTCTATCGGCCGGCGGTTCCCCCAGATCTGCCGTCGTGGAGACCGGTCTCGGCCGATCTCCATCCCCGTCGGCAGGGCCGTCGCTTCACGGTGGGCGTTACTAAGCCCGAAATCGCGTTCTTGGTTTCTATTTTCAGTTCACGAGTGTCGAACCATCCGGCGACGGTGATCTGAGATTGTTTCGTTGTAATTTCTTAGGAAGCTTAATTAGGTAGGCGTAGTAGACGGTGATGTTCATCCTAGTGTGCTACCAAGCTGGAATTTCGCTTCTGAATTTCCGATTCACCGGTGTTTGCTCACTCTTTTCCAGCAGGAACAGGGCACTCTGTCTGAACTGAAGCACCTGGGCTATCTTTGGCAATAAAGGGGTCACAAAAATCTCCCAGCTGAATTTCCTGACCGAGGCGCGACGATGAGGACACATGAGCGTGCTGCTAACTTGGCCCTTGCTGGTATGTTCACATTTCTTAACAATTCAGTTATCAACCTGCCTGTCGCCTGATTTTTTCTTTTGCTAATTTGCTGTCCTCATTCATGTGTTTTATGACATTGTGCAGGTTTGAGCTTGGCGCCGCTGGTGATCAACGTGAACCCGAACCTGAATGTGATACTCACAGCGTGTCTTACCGTCTATGTGGGCTGTTACCGTTCTGTCAAGGCGACTCCACCCTCTGTGAGCAACATGTCCCTCTTATCTATTTCTGTCAATGTTATCAAGTTTTTAACCTAGGTTGACACTGAATTCTTGCATATGGCTCTGCTCAACTTATTATTAACTCTTTCCATTTCTTCTTATGCAGGAGACCATGTCCAAGGAGCACGCGATGCGGTACCCTTTGGTGGGGAGTGCCATGCTTCTGTCTCTGTTCCTGCTGTTCAAGTTCCTCTCCAAGGACCTGGTCAATGCTGTTCTCACCGCCTACTTTTTCGTTCTTGGCATCGCCGCTCTCTGGTAATAACAACGTTTCTCCCAAGATTTTTTCCGCATACGTAAATAATTAGAAGAGTAAATGTGAACTTACAAACATTTGTGTTGCCCTGCTTGATTATCCAGCGCAACGTTGCTTCCTTCCATAAAGCGTTTTCTTCCAGAAGGGTGGAATGATAATGCCATCATCTGGCGTGCTCCGTATTTCCACTGTATGATCCCCGCCTTCATTTTGTTTGATGCTTGCTTTGTGCTCTACATCCTGAAGCTCAGGCCAGATTATAGTATACAGCAAAATTCCAATTACCATTTGCTATCCTCACGGACTCTATATTCTGTTTCAGTTCTAGTATTTCTAAGTTGTCATATATATACTTTTCAGTAGTAATGTGCTAATCTATCGACGAATTGAGTATCCTACCTTACACAGATTGCGACGATGCTTTTTTAGACCACTAGTTCATTTTAGAGGGGAACTGAGAAACTGTGTGTACTGTATTGTAGCAACATGATATTGCTCAGTTTCTCTGTAAAAAAGTGGGGTAATTAACTAGCATATAAACATACATTTTTGTGAAAATGTTTCATTTGACATGGCGTGTCATTTTTCTTGGTATACTGGAGTCTGGTTACATTTGCAACATTTGCAATGCTTTGGTTGCTTCTTATGGAATAATATGACTCTTGTCTTGAGTTTTTATTAAATTCAGCCTTACCATAGCTGACAAACACAATACAGTTGTGCCTTCTTGATGATTTTACAAGTTTAGATTTTATCATGCTATTTTCCGTTACAAGCTTTAATCTTGATGATGATTTATGCTTATGAACATTTTCAGCACTCTCAGTGGAGTTTACCAAGTCTCAAGTTGTTGCTTCAATCCCAGGATTTTTCTTTTGCGCATGGTATGCCATGAAGAAGCATTGGCTGGCCAACAATGTTCTGGGAGTTGCATTCTGTATTCAGGTGTGTCCTTATTTCTAGAGTTTATGGTAATATGCCTTGCTAGAATAATTATGGGCTGAAGTCTTCATAAACATGATCTGTTTTCCTCTCTGTTTTTTTACTTGCTCAACCTTAATACTTTAGTTTTTACCTTGCAGGGAATTGAGATGCTATCACTAGGATCGTTCAAAACTGGCGGTATTCTCTTGGTATGCGTTCACTCAAAGTTTGTAACGATCTGAAACTTATGTATTCCTATTTTCTGCTTTTCTTGTAGACCTCTTTCGTTATTTCAGCCACCTACATATCTTTCTCTTTCTCACCTCTCTGCTATCATAATCCTTACTTCATGGAGCATGACATATATGTATAATAAATACAATTTGGATAAAATAGCATGACATGTATGTAGGATAAATACAATTTGAAGTGGCTGATAAATAAACATGTATGTATGATGTATAACTACACTTTGAATTTTTGCTACCCTTTCTTTTGTCTATGGAAAGTGCAGTCTGGCTGTCTTTCTAGGAAAGCAGTGCAGTGCTTGCTAACCGTATTGATGATCTGCATTTCGCATCTCTAGTGATTGGACTTATCATCGTATTGTGTCCCTCTTCTCTTTATACCATTAACAAATTTTCTAGTAGCTCACTAAATGCATAGCAGATAGTGTTCTTGTCCTTGTCTTCATGATTGTTTGTAATCTAGAATCGAGTTTCAATCATGGATTACTTTTACCATGATGATAATCTGAATGAATATTCTCGATTTCGATTCCGTACTTCAGCAAAATAGGTTCTGACTGTTGGTATGGTATTGGCAACCTAACTATCCACGATCGCCTTTTCTATTTTGTAATCTGCACTGTACTCATGTTCTGGCAAGTAGCATTGAACTGTGATCCTACTATCTAATGAATTGGATAATTTGGAAAGTTCAACTTGTTTACTACTTTACTGATATCCACAGATTTTCCACTTTTTGCTTGTGCATGCCTTATAAAAATGTTAGTTTCAGTCATTTCGTCAGTCCTGTTGCTGCAGTTCCATATACTGTGACTAAATCCTTCTCTTATTATTGCTTAGTATTGTTTTGTGAATGGCTGCTCAATTTCCTCATCAATTTCAGGCTGGACTTTTTTTCTATGACATCTTCTGGGTTTTCTTCACTCCAGTTATGGTCAGTGTTGCTAAATCATTTGATGCCCCAATAAAGGTTAGTGTTTTCGCTCAGTGTATTTAATCTTTTATCCCGAACATGTTTTTTCATTGTAGTTCATCTATTTTTTCCTTGTTCTGTTTGTAGCTTCTATTTCCCACCGCAGATGCTGCACGCCCGTTCTCTATGCTTGGCCTTGGTGATATCGTAATACCAGGTTAGTGATAAATCTGTTGGCTAGTTTCGTCTCATATTCTAGCGATATTTGCAGTGATACTGGATTTGTTCTCGTTTGTGATTTAATAGTAATGCCAGCGACATTGTGAATGATAACTCTGTTCTGGTGATAAATGGAGAACTTCTAGTCTAACTGTCATAACAACAGTATTGTTGTTGATATAAGGGATGTTTTATTTTATTGTTGTGGGTAGGAGATTCTGTATTTTTCTTGAAAACAGAGACTTTGGTGACATGCTAGGCTGTTGCAATTCCACCACATGACCGGTTCCATATTAAATACAATTAGCAATTGCAAATAAAACTATTTTTTTGCTATCTTAGTGCATTCACTCCTGTGTAGTTTGTTGCCAATACAGCCCAAATATGCTCCTGATATCAGGATTGTAGGTATGCAGTAACACCAGAATGTAATTATGATTGGACTACTTCCACTTGCACGCAAAAAATGCCACCTGAGTTGTGGTGTTTCTCAGATGGAGACAACCAAACTTAGCTTGAAACTACTATTGTTGTATAATGACGATGTATGCTTTTTTTCAGTTGTGGATTCTTGCTTTTTGTAGATCCAAATAACTAGACTGAATCAGATGTTTAACATGGATGCTCAGACAATTGATGCAATAGACTCATATAATATCTGTTCCCAGTGATGAGTTTGTGGATTCTTGTATTTCCCAGGGATGTGTTTGGTTGGTGAAAATGTTTTGTTGAAACGATGCATTATAAACTCATAATATCAGTTCAGTATAACCAAAATAAGAAGAGGTTTTTTTTTTCCTAAGCAGTTCTCCATTATTCAATTCTGAAAACACAGGCAGGGCCCTCCCATGTTTCCATAAGCATGTGACCTCTTAACGCATAAATGTACATCTATATTTATATAATTCTGATTGCAGGCATCTTCGTCGCGCTCGCCCTGCGTTTCGACGTCTCGCGAGGGATCAAGAGCCGCGGTTACTTCAACAGCGCGTTTCTGGGATACACAGCAGGTTTGACAGTAACAATAGCTGTGATGAACTGGTTCCGAGCCGCGCAGGTCAGTTCTGTTGTTCTTAATATATCTTTTCATCTTGTCGATCTCTATATCCCTTAGTCTCTGGAATATTATTACCTATTGTTTTTCCTCTTCCTTTTGTTTCTGATGATATGCAGCCTGCTCTGTTATACATCGTTCCTGGCGTGACTGGTTTCGTCGCTGTGCACTGTCTATGGAACGGAGAAGTAAAGCCGGTAATTAAGCTTGTTCACCTCTGATGATAAGATTGTTTTTTCGTTTCCTCATTTCCCATGTTCTTCTTTGTTTCATCTTGTTACTGATCATATCGTCATAGCTACAATTCACTGCCAAAACTGCGAGGCTTGTTTGTTCTGACTGTTTTACATTGCCAGCTGCTGGAGTTCACTGAGGCGGAGGCCGAAGAGGAGGGTGGAGATCCCGATCATGAGAGCAAAAAGGCGGACTAGCGCTCGATCTAGCAGCGCTCAGGTCTTTTTAGTTAGGGGAAGACAGCCAAAGGAGGAGTTTCAATAGACCGGATGATCTCAAGAACTGAGAAATCCATTCGCATCATAGAACCTCTTTTTTTAAGAAAACTGATGTCTGTTTGGTTGTAGAACATGGTAAAAGAGACCTTATGTAAGACCCGGAACGATTGATGTTCGAATTGTCTCTCAATTGCTCACTGAACTTGAGAATTTGGATCGGATCAAGAAGATACAAGGGGATCGCAAGGGAGGAGACCCTGCTTCCGTACGATAGCTAGGTTTCTACCTACTTCTAGAGATGCGAATATTCGACTTGGCCCGAACAAGCCTCGGTGCCAGCATATAAACTCCGCCAGCTAGATCAAAGAACTACTGATGTAACGGTTAGCTTACAGTAACTAGTGAACTGCAGTAACTTCATCTGGAGCGTTGGATGGCTTCGACTCGTTTTCCTTTCATCTCGGCCGTTCGTTATCTGAATCTCTCTGCAGTGTCGATCTCCTCTTCAGTAGCTACGCGGTGCAGGTCCTGACAATGCCGCCGCCTTGACAACCGCCTTGTCCTCGAGGCGAAAGAGCTTATGGCCCGGAAATGTCTTGTTGAGAAACGCTGCATCTTCCCACGTTGCATCATCTGGTGCGAGGCTTTCCCACTGTACTAAGCACTGTCCCACTGGTGACCTGTTGCGTTGGATAATTCTGCGATCCAACACCGCGACAGGGATTGTTTTGACGTATCCTTCCGGTGTGACTAGTGGAACATGTGGTAAGGGTACTGCTCGATGGCCTATATGTTTTTTCAACTGACTGATGTGAAATACTGGATGTATATTTGTGCCCTCTGGTAGTTGGAGTCTGTAGGAAACTGCCCCAATCCTTTCCAGAATCTTGTGTGGCCCATAGAACTTGGATCACAACTTGAGAGATCCCCTGAGGCCAAAAGCGTTCTGCCTGTATGGTTGGATCTTCAGATACACCATATCTCCAACCTCCAATTGCCTCTCTGTCCTCTTTTGATCTGCAAAGTATTTGATCCTTCCCTGAGCATGTTCCAGGTTGGCTTTTAATCACTGTATCATGTGTTCTCGGGCAGTAACTGTTACTGCTACTTCTGACGAGAGGGAGGCGTCTACAGTAAATTCAGCAACCTGTGGAGGTTTATATCCATATAAAGCCTCAAATGGAGTGCATTTCAGTGACGTATGATAGCTTGTATTGTACCACAGCTCAGCCAGGGTAACCACTTCATCCACTGTTTGGGCTCCTGGAAAACCATTCCCCTCAAGTATGCTTCCAAACATTGGTTCACTCTTTCAGACTGTCCATCTGTTTGGGGATGAGATGCAGTACTGAACCTGATCTGGACTCCAAATGCTTTGAACAGCTCCTGATATAAGGCACTTGTGAAAATTGGGTCTCTGTCAGACACAATGCACACAGGCAGACCATGTAATTTTATGACATTATCCATGAGCATGTCAAATACTGTCTGAACTGAATATGGATGAGCTAGTGGTAAAAAATGTGAATATTTGGTAAATCTATCGACCACCACTAGAATAACCTCTTTGCCTTGAGAGTTTGGCAGGGTTGTGATGAAATCCATGGTGATATGGGCCCATGCCATGTCAGGAACAGGAAGAGGTTGTAACAGCCCTGGGGGGTGTATATGTTCCACTTTGTTTAACTGACATACAGGACACTGAGTTACAAACTTCTCCGCATCTTTTTTCATGTTGGGCCAATAGAACACTTTCTTAATCCTGTGATATGTTGCTTTAATGCCAGAATGACCTCCCAATGCTGAAGAATGAAATGTTTGTAACAGGTGTTGCCTGAATTCAGTGGTAGCCCCCACATATAACCTGTTCTTGTACTTCAACAAGCCTTGGTGAGTGGAAAATTTTGGTGGGTCTTCATTGTCTGTGGCCACCTTCTTGAGAATGTTGTCAGTGTCTGGATCATCCTGATAACTTTTCCTTAAATCTTCAGTCCAAGCTGGAATGACCATAGTAACATTGTTGCACTGCATGGAGTGTGCATTATCCCTTCTTGACAGAGCATCTGCTACTGTATTCTCCTTCCCCTTTTTGTATTCAATGGTGTAGTCATACTCCAATAGCTTCAGTAACAGTTTATGTTGTACTCCTCCAGTTAGCCTCTGAGTTGCCATGTACTTCAGAGCTTGTTGATCTGTTTTAATGATCAATTTGTTGCCCCACACATAGTGCCTTCATTTCCTTAAAGCTTCTAGAATAGCCATTGCTTCCTTCTCATATATAGAACGTGCAGATGATTTGGAGTAACTCTCTTTGTTTTCTGACTGTTGATGTTCATCTGTTTCAATATTAACTGCAGTGTCTGTTGAATTCCCTCATTCATTTTAGATAACTTTGCTTCTACCTTGGGCATCGTCACCATCTCTGATCGAAGTTTAGTTACCTCCTGCTTCAGTTCTTGTAAACCTTCCACCTCGGCCCGCAGATCTGCAACTTCTTTTTCCACTCGATCGACTGTGATCTGAACTTTGGCTCGTGTGTCAGCCATATTGCTCTTGAACCCGCGACTAAGGCAGATAGATTAGCGCTGCTAAACGGCTTCCTTCGATGGCGCACGGACCTCCTTCAGATCTCGGAATTTTACCACCAAGAGATCGTCTCCCGGCAACCGGATCAGAGTAGGTGATCTGCGCCCGAATGTCTCCGCCGCCTGTCACCGCCACCCAACACCGCCGCCGCGAACTGGGAGGGACGGGAGGGATTTTACGAGAGACCCCAACCTCCTGCTCTCCACAGCCCGATTCGCTGCCGTTGAGCTGTCGCAGAGGAATCAACCGGCTGCTCTGATACCTTTGTAAGACCCGGAACGATTGATGTTCGAATTGTCTCTCAATTGCTCACTGAACTTGAGAATTTGGATCGGATCAAGAAGATACAAGGGGATCGCAAGGGAGGAGACCCTGCTTCCGTACGATAGCTAGGTTTCTACCTACTTCTAGAGATGCGAATATTCGACTTGGCCCGAACAAGCCTCGGTGCCAGCATATAAACTCCGCCAGCTAGATCAAAGAACTACTGATGTAACGGTTAGCTTACAGTAACTAGTGAACTGCAGTAACTTCATCTGGAGCGTTGGATGGCTTCGACTCGTTTTCCTTTCATCTCGGCCGTTCGTTATCTGAATCTCTCTGCAGTGTCGATCTCCTCTTCAGTAGCTACGCGGTGCAGGTCCTGACAATGCCGCCGCCTTGACAACCGCCTTGTCCTCGAGGCGAAAGAGCTTATGGCCCGGAAATGTCTTGTTGAGAAACGCTGCATCTTCCCACGTTGCATCATCTGGTGCGAGGCTTTCCCACTGTACTAAGCACTGTCCCACTGGTGACCTGTTGCGTTGGATAATTCTGCGATCCAACACCGCGACAGGGATTGTTTTGACGTATCCTTCCGGTGTGACTAGTGGAACATGTGGTAAGGGTACTGCTCGATGGCCTATATGTTTTTTCAACTGACTGATGTGAAATACTGGATGTATATTTGTGCCCTCTGGTAGTTGGAGTCTGTAGGAAACTGCCCCAATCCTTTCCAGAATCTTGTGTGGCCCATAGAACTTGGATCACAACTTGAGAGATCCCCTGAGGCCAAAAGCGTTCTGCCTGTATGGTTGGATCTTCAGATACACCATATCTCCAACCTCCAATTGCCTCTCTGTCCTCTTTTGATCTGCAAAGTATTTGATCCTTCCCTGAGCATGTTCCAGGTTGGCTTTTAATCACTGTATCATGTGTTCTCGGGCAGTAACTGTTACTGCTACTTCTGACGAGAGGGAGGCGTCTACAGTAAATTCAGCAACCTGTGGAGGTTTATATCCATATAAAGCCTCAAATGGAGTGCATTTCAGTGACGTATGATAGCTTGTATTGTACCACAGCTCAGCCAGGGTAACCACTTCATCCACTGTTTGGGCTCCTGGAAAACCATTCCCCTCAAGTATGCTTCCAAACATTGGTTCACTCTTTCAGACTGTCCATCTGTTTGGGGATGAGATGCAGTACTGAACCTGATCTGGACTCCAAATGCTTTGAACAGCTCCTGATATAAGGCACTTGTGAAAATTGGGTCTCTGTCAGACACAATGCACACAGGCAGACCATGTAATTTTATGACATTATCCATGAGCATGTCAAATACTGTCTGAACTGAATATGGATGAGCTAGTGGTAAAAAATGTGAATATTTGGTAAATCTATCGACCACCACTAGAATAACCTCTTTGCCTTGAGAGTTTGGCAGGGTTGTGATGAAATCCATGGTGATATGGGCCCATGCCATGTCAGGAACAGGAAGAGGTTGTAACAGCCCTGGGGGGTGTATATGTTCCACTTTGTTTAACTGACATACAGGACACTGAGTTACAAACTTCTCCGCATCTTTTTTCATGTTGGGCCAATAGAACACTTTCTTAATCCTGTGATATGTTGCTTTAATGCCAGAATGACCTCCCAATGCTGAAGAATGAAATGTTTGTAACAGGTGTTGCCTGAATTCAGTGGTAGCCCCCACATATAACCTGTTCTTGTACTTCAACAAGCCTTGGTGAGTGGAAAATTTTGGTGGGTCTTCATTGTCTGTGGCCACCTTCTTGAGAATGTTGTCAGTGTCTGGATCATCCTGATAACTTTTCCTTAAATCTTCAGTCCAAGCTGGAATGACCATAGTAACATTGTTGCACTGCATGGAGTGTGCATTATCCCTTCTTGACAGAGCATCTGCTACTGTATTCTCCTTCCCCTTTTTGTATTCAATGGTGTAGTCATACTCCAATAGCTTCAGTAACAGTTTATGTTGTACTCCTCCAGTTAGCCTCTGAGTTGCCATGTACTTCAGAGCTTGTTGATCTGTTTTAATGATCAATTTGTTGCCCCACACATAGTGCCTTCATTTCCTTAAAGCTTCTAGAATAGCCATTGCTTCCTTCTCATAT